GGAGGGAGGAGAGGCACAGCCGAATTGTGAGGGCTGAAAGTTGTCCTTCAGTAATTCCTTCCCTCCCCAGACCCAGCTGGAATTGCCACCGTGATCCATTCCAGGTGTAAATCCATTTGTCTGCCCTAATTCTTCTTTACCTTGGAGGGATGGAGAGCATAGTGCCAGATCTGCTTGGGAGTGGAAAACAACCTCCATCCCAGGGGGGCACTTTTGGGGAGCACAGCAACACCTCAACCTGCTCTGGATGTGTTGGAAACTCAGGGTTTGGATCAGGAAAAGCCTTCCTGGGCTGCACGAGGAGGCACAGAGGCTGCTGTGTGTCCCTTCAGTGTAGTTCTGGTGGTTTCATTGTGGAAGTTTTGCTCAGTGAGGAAACTTGACTCAAAAGGAAGAACCAGGACATGGAGGTGGGGAGTGGTGGTGGGAGTTGCTCCTGGACACACAGGCACCCTTCACAGGGAGGTTGGCTTCACAACGAGGGTCCATGGGCACCTCTTGGATCTGTGCCTGTGCTGGCATTGTGCACTTGGAGAGATACAGGATGAGGCTTAAAGTTTTCCAGGAAAAAAGAAATTGTTTGGTCCTTCTGCTTTCAGTGGCAGCGCAGTGCTCCAGTTTCTGCAGCACCATCCTACAGATTCTTCTGGAACCAGCGCTGGTTTTTGCAGGGCACTCAGCCTGTTGGTTACAGTGTGCCAGGTCTGAGCAGCTCCTGCTGCCTCGTGGAAAAGAGGAGTTGAAAATCCCAAAGAGGAAAGTAGGAGGAATGACTGGAGAACGCTGTGTGTTCTTGTGCTGGGCTAGATCACTTGCATTAAATTCAGAGACTTTCTGAGTACAATTAATAGTCATTTTATTTAGGTCACCCTGGTTTTGTTGCTTTAAATGTATGCCTCCATTAAAGTGGAAGGAAATCAAATACATTTATCTCCGTGAAGCCTTTTGTGAACTGGTTGGGCATATTTTAAATAACCCTGGGAACTGTTAGGATTATTAAAGCCTTTGGCTCCTCCAGGTTTTTTTTCTTTCCTCTTATTCTCCCCTATTCCTCCTTCCAGGCAGTGAGTAATGAAGTGGTAGAGCCCTTCCTTTTCTCAGAGCCCCAAGTGGATTGGAAAAAAAAGAAGTTAAATAAACTGAAGCCCATTAGTTAGGCTTTATGTAGGAAACTGGGTCTGCATTGGCTGTATGGATGGGCTGTGCTGGGACAGAGGAGTCTGGGGGCCTGAAGTGTCCATTTGTAACCAGTGTTCGCTGGCAAGTCTTTGTTTTCTTCTTTTTTTTTAGTTACCCTAAGTCCTGAGACTGTTCATTTTGTAACTCTGACTTGGTGCCAGAGTGAGTCTGCCTTAATCAGCTCCTTTGGGCCTCCATATGGATCCATGTGAGGAGGTTGGGGTTGTGGGTTGCTGGGGTGGAGGGGGCTCAGCTCCCCCTCCTCTGCTGGGGCATCCAGGGCTTCGCTGGGGGCTGGGGTCCAGCCAGCAGCGCGTGGTGATGGCCAGGCCTTGCAGGTGGCAATTCCATCTTCCAGTCCCACTTCTAACCCCGGAAAAACCTTCCTCGCCTCTTGTATGCGGAGTGTGAGCCGCATGTTTTGAGCTGAGACCTGGAAAAGTTGCAGTTGAGCTTTTTAAAACGCATGCTGGGGGTGGGGTCCAGCCAGCAGCACGTGGTGATGGCCAAGCCTTGCAGGTGGCAATTCCATCTTCCAGTCCCACTTCTAACCCCGGAAAAACCTTCCTCGCCTCTTGTATGCGGAGTGTGAGCCGCATGTTTTGAGCTGAGACCTGGAAAAGTTGCAGTTGAGCTTTTTAAAACGCTGGTGGAGCCAGGGGCTGGAGGAGGGGGTTAACTCGGGCACTCACAGCCCCTGGATGCACTCGAGTTTCGGCTGTGGCTTGGTTTTTTTTTCCCTTTCCCTGAAATAGGGATCAATTTGCTTACTGCAGGGTTTACTGCCGGTTACCTTGACTGTGTCCCTTATTTCTCCTTGATGAAAACTTGAACAAGCCGCTTGTGTTTGCTTCACAGAGAACCGTGAGAAACGGGCTGTGTGTGTGAGGCACTGTGGTTTGCTCATTCTATTCAGCCCTTTGTATATTCAAATTCTTCTAGTTTGAGTTCTTGCTGTTCTGCCAGATTTCCATACCATTGATGGGTTTTCTGCATTAATAAGTTTCTCTCCCCCCTCCCTCCCATACCCTCGCCACCTTTTTGCAACTGGTGAAAAGTTTTTCTAAGCGCGCTGCCCTCTCCGTATTGATTTTCTTCTCCTGCTTGTCTCACCAGCTCTCAGATGTTTTATTTTGCAAAGCGTTAATAGAATTTTCCTTTTGCCGCTGCACTTTATCTATTCAGGAGGTTTCGAGAAGTCTCATTGTGTCACCGGACTGTGGAGGAAAGAGGCTATTCTTCTGCTACAATGGCTGCCCTAAAAAATAACGCAGGGTGGGGTAAGCACAGAAAGGGCAGAGACGGAGATAAAATGTTCTGACCTTAGGAAAGAGAAAAGATAACCAATTAGACATTGTTGAAAGGGCACCAGCTGGCTCAAAGAACACCCCACTGATAATTTTTTCTTCAAGGCGTACTCGGGCCACGTCTGAACTCAGCTGCAGAGACGCTCCCCCCGTGCAGGTTTCATCTGTGGACTGTCAGGGCTGACCCTTTTCCAGGAGCTGCTGCCCGGCCCTGATCCCAGCAGTTGGTGCTGCTGGAGGGGGGCAGTGCCCACTCTGGGGTGCCTTTGCTCCTCGGGGCCCCAGGAAACCTCCCTCCTGGATTAGCCCTGCAGCCCGTGCTTCTTACTGCTAATAGGGATTTATTTGCATAAAAAAGATCCCTGCCAAGATCATCATTCCAGCTTGGTACACATGGCACAAAGCCCTGTTTGCCCAGAGGATGGGGTTGTGTTGGACAGGTGGGAGAAGGGAAGGGAGCTGCAGAGCCCCTGCAGCTCCTGGAGGAGCCCTGTGAGGCTGCACAGGAGGTTCAGGGCTCTGCTGCTGCCAGCAGTGGCTGAGGCATGGCCATGCTGGAGCATCTCTTCTCTCCCTAACCAGCACAGCAGCCTTTTTGAGGTCCCCAGTAATGTCCTTGCAGGAGGAGGTGTCATTTGGGCAGTCCAGCCTGGAGAGCCTGCACTCAGGCTGGGGGGACAGGGCACCTCTCTGGGCTCCTGGGGCTGTGCTCCTGCACATCCAAGAGCTCTCGAGGCTCTGGGATGGGGTTTGAGGGAGAAAAGTTCAATTTTAAACCTTTTGCAGCAGGGGTTGGGTGGGGACAGAGGGTGACACTGGGAGCTGTGATGCCCCAGGAAGCAGCAGCAGGTGCAATCTGTAATTTTTGGTTCCAGTGAGGCCAAGACCTGTGAGAATCAAAAATAAAGGTTGCTGAGCAAACATAACCCTGGAGCAGAGATAAGCAGGGTGAGGGGCAGCCTGGTCCTTATCTGCCTCCTGGTATTGCTCATCCTGGTGAGTTTTCCCCCTTGGAGGGAAGACAGACAGCAGGACAGACAGCTCTGTGCTTAATGCACTTTGGGTTTTCAGTGCATCAGCATCTTTAGGTCTCAGTCAGGATGGGTATCAGGAGACCTGCATTTCTGCACACTCTCAGGCCATTGCTGGCACTTTCTGCAAACCATTTTGACTAAAAAAAGTTAAGAACAACTTAAGCAGATGCAGGTTTTCAGATGAATTTCAGGCATCACGTAAGGTTTTGCTGCACTATATTTTTTACAATCTCCTGGAAGATATTACAGTCCTTCAGAACCTCAGGGAGGTTCAACTTGTGTTTTCACCACCTTCTCGAACTCTTTTTCCCCAGCCAAGGCTGAAAAATTTTTCACAGACATGGGCTGGATGTCTGTCTGTTGCCTAAGTGGACACTTGGGGGGTCAGATGGACTCTACAGGTGGACCCTTTGAGATGAAGAGAGCATGTAACTGCATTGTAAATCACTTAGCTAAAATAAATGATTTATTGAAAGCCAGAGCACAAGCCCAAGGAAGTACAGAAAAATTACTGGTGGGAAAAAAAATCCAAAAACTTCAAACAAACAAACAAAAAATCCTGAAGCCACACCCCACAAAAGCAGTGGAGTCCTTTGGAGGATAAAACCTTTTCTTTAAAGTTCTTCCTTCCTTCCTGCAACACCTTGTGTAACTCAGTGTTACAGGTTTTCATCATCCCTGAGTTTCCAGCAGGAATTGCAAGGCTGTAATTTCATCTCAGAGCTTGCCCAGGCCATGTCCAGTGGCACATGGGACCCAGCTGCCCCCACTCCTGCAGCCTCAGAACAGCAGCTCAAGGTGTGATGATGCTGGGGAATCAACCCCAGCACAACATCCCAGTGCAGTATTTGCAAAATTTTAGGTGTGGCTGCACAGATTAAATGGAGGTGGAATAAATCATGCAAATCTTAATGAAAGTTGAAAGCAATTTGGTTGCACTTCAGTACTTTCATCAGCCATCTCTCTTCTGAAGTGGAAATGCCGAGCCTGATGCGAATTAAAGTTTCTCCTCCCTGTCCCCTCTTCCCTCCAGCTTTCCAAAAGCCCTTTTGAAAACCTCTGAATACCTTTCTTGGCTGACCAGATTTTACCCTGCTCATACCTCTCTTAACCTAATTCTCAATCAAGACAGTGAACTCTAAATTTGGAGAAGTCATGGGCTTGATTTGCATCCACACTTCCTCCCTTGGCCCTTCCTGGTCTCCCTGCAGAAGGAAGGTGAGGCATGGCCAGGGATTGATGTGAAGTGGAAGAGCTGCTGAGATATTTGGCTGTTTAGGGCCAGCATTTCAGTGGTCACTTTTCTGCTTCAGGATCAGCTGCCAGCCAGGGCAGAGAGGGGAAGGCAGCAGGTTTCCAGAAGGAGAAGCTGCCTGTGGCCAAAAGCAAGGAGCTCTGCCCGTGTCCCCCTCCTGGTGTGCGTGCTGTGTCTGAGCTCCAGCGTGTGTTAAAGCACAACTCTCCCTTCTTTGTCTTGCAGGTAGAGGATGCCATGCTAATGTTTGACAAGACGACCAACAGGCATAGAGGTAAGAGAGTTTGGGAGCTCTGACCTCCCAGTGTGGGGCAGCTTCTGCATGGGGGAGCAAAAGCCAGATTCAGCGAGATGAGCTGATGGCTGAATCTGTGGCACTAAATCCTCTGTCCTGCAGGTAGCAGAGGAGGGGTGGTTGGCATGGAATGCCCCATGCACGTGGATTTTCTTGTTAGGAGTGACTTTCCTGCTCAGTCTCATGGCTGAAGGCAGGGATTGTAGTACCCTGGAAAGTTCAGCAGCAGCAAGCAAAAGATTTGCTGAGGAAGATCAGCTCTTCCAGCCAGGGAGGGTGTGTGAGCAGCCAGTGCCCTTCCTTTTGTACCAGGGACCTCTTCAAAGCTCTTACTTAGGTTGAAAAGTTCAACCTGTGACAACCTCCTTTTATATCCAGTGAATTTTCCAGCTTCCCCATGAAATCACCCTTAAATGGGCCATAAATACTCCTCTCCATTCAGGATCTCAGTTGTTTGTTGCATTTAAAAGCTGCCTGGAGCTCTGGTGCTGGGCACAAGGGCCCTGTGGTCTGGGGGCAGCCGGGGGGCTCTGCTCCCAGCTAGGCATACCCTCAGCAGGTTGGAGGTGGTCTCCAGTTGCTGAAATGTCCCAAATCCAGGGCTGGGTTCCCAGCTGGCTGCCAGCTGTGTTCCTGCCCACCACTCAGTGCTCTCAGCTCCCTGTGCCCAGGCTGGGCAGGAGCTGAAAGCAGAGCAGGGCTGTGGGAGCCCGTGCTGAGCTTCCTGCAGGATGCTTGTCTGGCGTTGCCAAGGTGACCCCGCTCTGTCCCTGGCTCTGTGCTGCTCTAAGCACTTGGTGTCTGTGCTCTGGGAGTGCTGAGCCCTGCTCCAGCAGCCCTGCTTCAGCGTTTCTGGGCTCTTGGGGGAGCCTGCAGCTTTGAGCCTGGGTAATGAGCCCCGCAGGATGCAGTCCTGGTCCAGAAACATCTTTCCAGTGACTTACCAGGAGTAAAGGTCTGCTGAAGATGAGGGCTGCAGGTCTGGGGGGCACCTTAGTTGCCACGAAACCTTTTGTGTTTTCCACAAGGGGTTTTTTCCCTCTATGTGTGTTGAAGATGGGAGGCAACAGGTCATACTTTTTTTATTTCCCCTGGGAATTCTGTGCATTTATTTCATTGGCTAATTTTTTTAATAGCTTGTTTTTCCTACATGCAAGCCATGACATTTTGCTCTTCATTATCACCCCAGGGTAAGCTCTTGCATGAGGTCTAAGTGGGGAGGAACTAAAAGCCCCTGAGGACCAAAAGCAGGCTCCAAATGCCCCTGGGTGGAGGTGATGCTACCCCAAACCCTCCCCTGTGCTCCTGAGTCAGACTGTGCACCCGGGTCTGTCCCTTTGGGGACAGGTTGGGCTGGGGACCCTCTCCTGGCTAAGGAAGGAGTTCTCTGGCACTCAGGAGACCCAGCTCTGCTTGGGCTCCCAGGGAACAGGCTTACCCACTGCTGGATGAAGGGCAGTGCTGCCTGTTAGCTGGGATTAGCCAAAATTCCTGTGAGCAGGGAAGAGGGGCTGCTCAGCTGCCCAAGGACAGAGGGGGTGAGCTCCGGGCCCTTACCCTGCCAAGCGCAGGTGGGAGGAAAAATCAACTACAAAAGGCAGAGTAAGAGTCCTCTTCATCTTCACACTCGAATTTATCCAGCCTTTTGTGGCATTTTTTCCTGCTCTGCACAGGTAGCTAGTGCTAATCAGCCTAATGAACTGGCTCGGGGCTGTGGTGATGAAGAGAGTTCTGCCGCCTCGACCGCCGATAAAATCACCCCAGATTTTACAAATTGTGGCACTCTGATTGTGTTGGAAGCGTGTTTAAAATGCGCCAGTGTGCAGCAACAGTGTTAATGGCAATTCTTAAAGCCACTTGTGGGTTGCAATCTGTATCTTCAAATTAGCCACGGGAAGGAGAAATGGCAGATAAAATATCCGCTGTGGTTTGCTGCCTTAGTCTCTGCCTGGAATAATCACTGTGGGCACGGGAAGGGAAAAGGATTAAAATTCACTCCCTACTGCTAGGAGGTGAGATAAATTTCCTTGCAAGAAAATGGAGAGGGTTTGTTGACATAATTCTGGCATGTGTGTGTTGCTCCTGTGTGTGTGTGTTTGGGGAGTGTAACTCACCTGCACCAGCACTGCTCCGTGGAGATGCAGGGATGGAGCCAGGCAGGGGAAGAGGGGTTTTCAAAATGCTCACCCTGGCTGGAAAACCCACCCAAAATAAAGCTTCATGCCTGGCATGGAGCACTTTGCCTCTGTGGTGGACTTGCTCGTGGAGGTCTTTTGCAAGCTTAATGATTCTATGATTCTATAACCTTAAAAATGCCATCAGGCCAGTCATGCTGTGTCTCTGCCAGGGGTATTTTAATGTCCAGCTATTCCTGGATGTTCTCTAAGGAAAATAAGACTCAGCTCTTGCATTTCCTGCTGATCTGTTGGGCCATATTAAAGGCAGGCTGCAAAATCTGTGTTTAATTGGAGTGGTTATGTTTTGGTGTGTTGTAGGCAAGACAATCCCTAGAATCACTGGGATGTCTCCTTCCAAGGGTTCTTCTGGCTGTGACAGTGGGCACACAAAAAACCAGCACTTGATAAACAAATATCCCTTGGCCAACTTGTTTAGGTGCCTTTTTTTTTTTTTTTTTTTTTGAAAGAAAGTGTTGGTGATCCTCGATTTCTGTACTACTGTATTCCTGCAGTCCTCTGAAAACCACACACAAAAGTTCTCCCAACATTCTGGCAGATCACTTCTGTCACTTTCTTCACTGCTTAAAATTTCATAGAGCTGAAAATTACTGGGTCAATCTTGAAAGGATTCAGTAATTGGAAAGAAAGGAAAAAAAAAAAAAAAAGGGTGGTGTTATTTTGTTACCCTTGCAAAGTGCAGATAAAATCTGGAGTTCAGCATTAGTTATTGATCTTGGGGGGTGGAGGGAGCCTGGCAGGATGATGATGTCCTTCTAACTTCATTATGGAGAGGAGCTCCAGGAAGCATTTCAATGTGCTGGGGTGGGGGCCGTGCCCTTGGGCTCTGGACAGGGTTTGTTGTTTCCAGCAAAGCTGAGCAAAAGCACCCGGCACAGCACGAGGAGGAGGAGGGAGGAAGGCACAGCTAGGTCAGTCGAGGGGTGCACGAGTGGGCTGTCCTGAGCTGATCCCAGCACGAGGTGAGGTGAAGCAGGAGAAGGGGTCCAGAGGTTCCTCCCCTCAGTGGGATGCCCTTGGTCCCAGCCCCAGTGATCCCTGCCCTGCCTTCAGCGGCTCCAGGAGCTGTCCAGGACCTGCATCACAAGAGCCCCATGTCTTGGACTCACAAAAAGCCCACGATTTTGAGTGAGTGAACCCCCCAAGCTGTAATTGCAGGTACTGAGTGTAATACTATATGTTTTTCAAAGCCGTCCAGCCCCCAGAGTTATTTTCACATCAATTAACCCTCTTGCACAGTTAAGGATGGCAGTGGTGAGAGGAGGGAAGTGACAACGTGTGATTTGGACTCCTTTAATCTTAAAACTAAACAAAATCAACACGAGGCAGGCTGTCTGCAGGGTACAGACAGCATGTTAGGGGTTAAACACCCCCAGGGACAGGCTGATTGCAGCTGAGCTCTGCGGTCACCCCCTGCTCCCTGTGCCCAGGAGAGGCTGGCTGGCACCTGCCTGTGTCTGGGGCTGGAGGGTGCCTGAGCATCCCTTTGGCTCCCAGGCCCTGGCAGGGAGGGCACCAGGACACTGCTGGTTCCCTCCTGTGGCATGGTGGTGTGCCCAAGGTGGGGGTTTGTGTGAACCCACAGAACTCGGGGTGAAAGGTTGGTGCCCCCATCCCACCAAAACCACACCCCAGGGCTCAGGGGCTCTCCCAGCCTTACCGTGGGCTCTGCTCTCAGGGAGGAAGGTGAGGGTTGAGCTCCCTGGCTGTGCTGTGTGCATCCAGCAGATTTCAGTGCATGGAACTCCAGGTGGAAGCAGTTGGCATAATGGGTTTGTTTCTTGGGAGAGTCAGGAGTGATGCTGTTAGAGAGATATTGGCTGTGCCTTGGCGAAGGAGGAGGCTTTTCTGAGGAGAAAAATAGCCTTTTGTGTTCTGTCCAGCTGCCAAAACCTCAGTTCTGGAGCTGATCTCTGAAGTTATAATTGACGTTTTTATAGATGAGATATAAATATAATTAAGTCACTGCAATTATTTGTTTATCGCCATCTCCCTCAAGTCAAGCAAGGTCATGTGCATTTAAAAATACATCCCCAGGCAGTTTTGAGAAAAGATTAGTTAAAATATATAGAAATAATTACCTAATTTGGTCATTTGAATGTAGCTTTTTTGGCAGCAGCCTGGCTATAGCACCGAGCATCCTCAGAAGTGCTTGGAGGGAGCCTTCCCTCAGCTCACAGGTTGTGCTCTTTGGGAGGACTGAGGGGGCTGAGGCAGAGCTGCTCCAGCAGGTTTGACCCACAGATTTAGGGAAAGCATCCACAGGCACCACAGTGATGCTTTTTTAAAACATAAAGTGCTTTAAGGGCTTCGGATGAAAAGTGTGACAGAAGCCATAAATGGAGGCAGCGTTATTGTTATTGCTTTCCTGGATGAGACAGGCTGCTGTTCCCCTGTCAGCTGTATCACGGCACAAATGGGGCTCCAGAGAGTGCTCCACACCCTCCCTCCCACTGAAATCCATCCCGGAACCTGGGGCTGCCAACACAGACTTTAACCCTTGCTGACAGAGCTCAGGAGTGTTTATCTTCTCCAGGGGATCAGGGGATCAGCTGCACACAGGGGGTTTGGAGAGATTTTTAAGCAAATATTTGCTTCTAAACTTCACGTGAGGGCTGTGAAGATTCATTAGTTAATATTATTTACCATTTACACACCTATCAGTGAGCACCATCAGTCACACCTGTCTGTTTGGATTGCAGCAGTGACATGTGCCATGTTAATATTTTATATGTGTGTGTTTTTAATATTACATCCCCGCTTATAAATATTCATTTCTTAAAC